ACTGCAAATCCAAAACAATTTATGATACAAGAGTCTTGTCACTGTGTCATGGTTTAACCCTAGCCAGCAACTAAGCACTACACAGCTGCTCTCTCACTCCCCCCCCAGTGCGATGGGGGAGAGAATTGGAAGAGTAAAAATGAGAAAACTCTTGGGTCAAGATAAAGACAGCTTAATAGGGAAAGCAACAGCCGCATGCGCAAGCAAAGCAAAACAAGGAATTAATTCACTACTTTCCATCTACAGCCATCTCCAGGAAAGCAGGGCTCCATCATGCGTAACGGTTACTTGGGAAGACAAACGCCATCACTCCGAACGTTCCCCACTTCCTTCTTCTTCCCCCAGCTTTATATGCTGAGCACGATGTCATATGGTATGGAATACCCCTTTGGTCAGTTGGGATCAGCTGTCCCAGCTGTGTCCCCTCCCAACTTCTTGTGCACCCCCAGCCTACTCGCTAGCGGGGTGGGGTGAGAAGCAGAAAAGGCCTTGACTCTGTGTACGCACTGCTCAGCAATAATGAAAACACCTCTGTGTTATCAACACTGTTTCCAGCACAAATCCAAAACATAGCCCCATACTAGCTACTATGAAGAAAATTAACTCTATCCCAGACAAAACCAGCATACTCTGCAAACATTTATTACTGTGGACATTGTTTAGTTATTATCAACATCAGGCACAGTGACTACTCTGTGAGTCAATATTGTGCTGACCACAGAACCATAAAAATAGGCCTATTTAGTATTTGTTGACAGTAGCTTAAAAATAGAATTTCAAATTGGGCTTAAACGAGAAAAAACTTAAAGCAGTAAGAATAGTCAGCTGCTTTTATGTGTGTGTGACTTATAACGAATTACCTCCCTCTGTAAGTAACATACAGAACCAGAAATGGCAAATATCCGTCCCAAATATGAAGCTTGTGTAGAAAAGTTGAAGTTTGATTCTGTAATGAATTGTGACTACCTAACACTTCATTTTCATAGACATATAGTAAAAGACGGTCTTATTTTTTTAAACATGAACAGCTTTTTCTAAATCAGTTCTTTAAATACATTCTGTAGAAGCTCAAAGCTCTCATTTTAAAGAACTCAGTATTGGATGAGTAATTTCAATTGTATTTTCTGTGTCATTATTGGACATAAGTGATTGTGAGGTAACTTATTGTACTAACACTTTTACTTCCAGTGATACTAGAATAATGAAAATGTTTCTAATTTATCCACAGTAGCACTTCCCCTTCGTGTGCTAACTTTTGCATATAGTTACAGACATATTGAAACATTCACAGCTTGACAGAGTTTTTCTTGATCAGGCATAAACAAAAGAGTGGCCCTTTCTTATGCTTTCCCATTATTATAAATGTTCAGTTCTCCTCCATTAGTCCAGATTCTTCCTTAAAATTGCTTTGTATATCATATCTAAAGCAGCTATTTGCTGTGGTTCCCAACCTTCATGAATATCTCAGTAACACAAGTTTTTACACAGTAGAAGAACTAGGAATGCTCATC